GTTTACGAGCGTGTAATATCGTATCTAAATACAGAGTACATCCTCCCATCCAGAGTACTTTAATACTTCTTAGTATTTCTTTCAGGGGAGTATATATCCCCTTGAACGAGCAGATTACTTATAGCCATGGAGAAGCTTCGTTTTTCTTTCTTTTTTTGTCGCGTCGGAGCGACACTGGAGTATCTGCTTCCGCGCAACGCGGAGGAAACGAAGGAAGAGAGGAAGGTTGCACGGCGTTTTATTTAAAAATTCTTATCGTTCCGCGTGGTTAATTTAAATTTCTAATGACCGCGGGCGCGGTCGAAATATCGTGCGTTCCAAGAGCGGTTGCACACTAACAAGTAAGTCGAACCTGGGCATGTGCATTGGGAATAGTTCGGCGGTATCTGCCACGTTATATAGCCGTGGAATTTGTTTGCATTCTAAACGGGAAGCGGATCACTCGATAAGGTAGTTGCGAATTTCACGGTTGTAACCGCGGTTGTAACCTTCCTGCTGCTGTGGCGTGCACAAGCCACAGGGAATAGCAGTACGTTAAAGTGAGTCGCGACAAAATCGTTTAATCCGCCCCTTGAACCCCTGTTTCCCCGTGTTCTCGCATTTTTTTTTTTTTTTTTATTTTCCCCGAAGTTGGTTATCCCGGCGCTGCGTTGTCCCTGCAAACACCATCGCCCGAGAAACTATCATTCGGAGGATTTTCTCATCTTCTTCGCAAGGTTGTACTAGTTTTCGTTATCTCTTCGACTTATAGATGGACACGAGCGAAAGTGGAACGTTTACGTAATTTCGTTGGACGTAATACCAGGCTAGATCTTTACGCAATGTCATATTGTCATAATTGTCACGCGATTAAATAAATGAAGTTCTTTCACGAAATATTATAACGAATCTATTTTCGATATTTCACGTCGTTGTATTTTATGCTTTATATTTTACGTGTTGCGCGCTCTTCTAATAACGCTTGCATAAAGAACAAGAACTTATTCTATGCCTGCCTTTTTTCGAGTGGCTGAGTGTCGAAATCTTAATTCTTTAATAAACTCTCCCATACTCGCTCCTTTCAGAAAGGTCACTGCATTCCTCCAAGTGTAAAACTTCGTCAACTCCGTGAGCCATGGTAATTTCTAAATTACTCTTCGTAAATGCCAACGTGTACAACGTGCGCCTGTAGCCATCGACTGTGAAGAGAATTAAAATTCCAAAGGACACGGCATTTATTTATTGCATCCCCAAAAAAAAATGGCCGTGCTTTTGCGACTGTGCCTTTACGAGGTCTGCACTGATCTCCCAGACGGAACACATTCTTCTCGTTTCTTATTTCCTTCGCACCCTCCCCCCAAGTTAATTGTTTCCCCCCCCATCCAGATTATTCTTTTCTCGTTAACGTTTCTCCATTTAACGCCGCGGGCTTTCACCACTCCGTTTAATCTCGTTACCATTTCTCGCGCAAGTATCCGCGAAACTTTGCTCGTTGGAAGCTCGTAGGAAGAAAGACGGTGTTAGGTGTAGGTTGTCTGAGAGAAACGAACCGTGGCGCGTCGAACTAGTTGGCTGGAAGCGAAGGGAAGAAACACGGTTGGAACACGTTCCACGTGACACCGATGCATGACGCAAAATAGCATGACAGAGGAGCGAGGAATACGGAGCAGGCTTACGCAGGCCATCGGCGAAATTCTGGCGTCACCGATCAAGGATTATCTTCGTCTCGGGTCAGATTACTTTGATCTATCGTGCGTAAAGTCCTACATCGCACCTGGAGGGCGGGGGGAGGGGGGAGTGGGAGGGGGATAGAAAAAAAAACACGGACGAGACTCTGTGAAAGACGAAATATGCTTGTTGCTCGTGCTGGCGTTGCCAGGATTTACGGAGGCACTTAAAAACCAACGTCAGTAGCTATTTCCCCTCCATTATTTTCTATACGGCCTTTCAAACGAAGCGATTACTTTGAAACGCAACGTCGAGTGGCGCGGTATCGCTCGTTGCAAAGGCGACCAAAGCGCGCGCCGAACGCTTTGATCGACGAGAAAGGGGCGCAGGTTATTTCAACAATTCTCGCGGAACGAACGCGAGATTTCGCGAATTGATCGCGTTCCTTCGTCCGATCTTAATCCTTAGGATATACGGGATATCCTGTATGTAGAAGATACTCTATAAAAAAAAAAAAA